ACCCAGTGATTCCAATACATCCAGACGAGGTTAGTATCAATTCCCAAAGACTCCACCACACTTAGACAAGGTTAATATCAGTTCCCAAAGACTCCACCGTACTTAGACGAGGTTAATATCAGTTCCCAAAGACTTCACCACACTTAGACGAGGTTAATATCAGTTCCCAAAGACTTCACCACACTTAGACGAGGTTAATATCAGTTCCCAAAGACTTCACCACACTTAGACGAGGTTAATATCAGTTCCCAAAGACTTCACCACACTTAGACGAGGTTAATATCAGTACCCAAAGACTTCACCACACTCAGACAAGGTTAATATCAGTTCCCAAAGATTTCACCACACTTAGACGAGGTTAATATCAGTTCCCAAAGACTTCACCACACTTAGACGAGGTTAATATCAGTACCCAAAGACTTCACCACACTTAGACGAGGTTAATATCAGTACCCAAAGACTTCACCACACTCAGACAAGGTTAATATCAGTTCCCAAAGATTTCACCACACTTAGACGAGGTTAATATCAGTACCCAAAGACTTCACCACACTCAGACAAGGTTAATATCAGTTCCCAAAGACTCCATCACACTCAAACGAGGTTTGTCAGTACCCAAAGACTCCGCTACTCACTACCACTTACTCCTAATTCCGAATCTCTCCTTCTCCTCCGTTATACTCATTAAAATGAGAACGCGGCATGGCATATGAGTGGCGTATTACACCCCCTCCGGCAGCTGTACTCTGACAAGTGTAAGTCATTAGAACACAGGTGGTAATACCAGATCCATAGAGGAGGGAGAGGATGATGAGGGGAGAGGCGATAGAGGAGACAAAGAGGGTGAAGGAAGAAGAGGGTAAGAGGAGAGAGAGGGAAGGAAAGGCGAGGGAGAAGATAAGGGGGAAAGAGGAAGAGGATTGGAGAAAAGAGGAAAGGAGAAAGGAAGAGTGTGTCATTAGGAAGAAAGAGTGAGAAGGAAATGAAAAGTTAAAGGTGAGAAAGGGTCAAGCAATAAATTAAAACAGCAAATAAAGAAGCGAATGAGCTCTTGAGGAAATCAGATACAACACAAACAGCAATGGGACTAGACGAAATATTACCCTGAATTTAGAAACTCTAGAGCCCCAGAGCAAAATTTTCAAAACAATGGAAAAACTAGACAGCTTGAAAAGTGCAGACGTGATGTATACCAGAAAAGAGGGAAAATAAAACAGGAATCTGTATCCAAGTTATGTTGTCTAGTGCACTAGTTAAAACTTAAAAAAAAGATAAAACAGTGCACCAGGAAAGATTTAGATATAAAAGAGACTACCAATATATATCGAGAGACGGGAAAATCCTGGTATAAACCTCGGTACGTAAGATGATCAAAGGATTGGTAAGGATTAGGTCGAAAGATTGGTATTAGGACGTCTGAACACAGCGAAATAGGGAAATGGGTAAACAGTTAGGATGGTTGTAATGGATACCGGCCCAGCCACATGGACTTGTAATAAGAGTGCGTGAAAAAGGTTTTGCAAATGTATAAACATGTACAAATGTATAAAAATGTATAAACATATAAATATATACACAAGTTTGTTATACAGTGTTTTTCATGCTTGTAGGCAATATTTGCCATTTTCCACAAATAGTATATAAAAATATGTAAAATTGGTCAATTAGCAAGAACTCATTTAAAATTAAGTCCTTTCTATAAATCTCTCTTATACGTTTAAAGATATATTTTTTTTCATTTATGTTAACGCAAAAATTTATAATTTTGCACCAAAGAAACTTAGAAAACTTACCTAACCTTATAACAAGAGCAATTTATTTTAGCCTAATCCAACTAAATATATTTTAGGTACGTTTACAATAATTTAATACTAAACAAACACAGTGAAATATATATTTTTCGTTAGGTTTAGAATGATTTTGGCGAAATTATTGCATACACAAATTTTCACTTGTCCTATATGGCAAGATGAACGTTGCTATTAAGACAAGATCGCAAGTTCTGCCTATTCTTCACGACATTATATATATATATATATATATATATATATATATATATATATTATATATATATATATATATATATATATATATATATATATATATACTTTAAATAAAGAGTAACCAAAACTTTTTGTTTATGAAATTTTTTAAATTACAAGAAGCCTTTTTATGCACGCAAATAGACAAGGAACGATACAGAATCAAAATTCATAATATTTCTGATTGAAATCTAAACCTTAGTCCAGGATTTTATAAGCTGGAAGCAATCATTATAAATGAAATTTGTGAAAGTTTTAGGTTATGTTGACCGATCTGTCACTCGTGACCTGACCTCATCTGACCTCACCTAGCCAAGACAGGTCTGAGAATGATGTGCAATCCTTCTAATATATAAGCCCTCGTATTACTACATTTCCCTTACTGTGTTCCTGCATGAAAGTGTTTATATATAAATTCACTACGACACTACTGTATCATTTTCTCATGTTTTCAGAGGATCATAGAAGCTTAAAATCACTAAAAAAATCATTTCAACTTGACCCACCAACACTGAATATGTCACTGGTAGACTACAGGTCACACACACACACACACACACACACACACACACACACACACACCACATCTGTGCATACACACACCTACATACACTTACTCCACTCCAAACAGGACAGCAAAGCAAGCACCCCCTCCCCCCATATACACGTTTTATGAAAGCTACGCCCCTGCTCTCGGGGGGTTGCGAAAGGTAAACACCGCTGTATCGGTTAATTTAACTAGTATACTAGAATAGCAATTTTAAATTTATATTCTACATTCACTTTCAGGTTGTCATCGTATTAGTGCCAGCGTTAACTCTTAATACAAATAGTTAAAATAATTATAATAATAATATTATTATTCTTGCTTCACTCACGTGAGTTGCAGTTTGTACAAGTTTATTTTCTAGTGATTCAGCTGCCCCTCCTCCACCCTCTCCCGAAACCTCTTATTCCCCTCCCCATCCCCACAGAACCCAACCCCCACATCTTCAATGCCTCCACTGACTCTCGTCTTCCCCCTCCCCTCCACAACCTCTTCTCATACTATCAAAACTGCTGGCAACAGCGCCAAACACTGTACAATGTTAATAACACACACACACACACACACATACATATTATCGACCCCTGCAACCACAAATAAGTGAGTACACACACACACACACACACACACACACACACATCGGCCTGACGACACTGGAGGACAGGAGGGGAGACATGTTAACATACAAAATACCGCGTGGAATAGACAAGGTGGACAGAGACAGGATGTTCCAGAGATGGGACACAGAAACAAGGTGTCACAATTGTAAGTTGAAGACCCAGATGAGTCAAAGGGATATTAGGAAGTATTTCTTCAGTCATAGAGTAGTCAGGAAGTGGAATAGCCTAGCAAGTGAGGTAGTGGAGATAGGAACCATATATAGCTTTAAGATGAGGTATGATAAAGCTCATGGAGGGAGCAGGGAGAGAGGACCTAGTAGCACTCAGTGAAGAGACGGGGTCAGGAGCTGAGTCTCGACCCCTGCAACCACAATTAGGTGAGTACACACACACACACACACACACAAGAAATTCGAATAAATGTGGCAAAACAGTGCCTAGAAATTACACAAGAAACCGTAAATTAAAAATGGAAATTCGACGTTTCGGTGCGTTGTGGGCCATTATCAAGTCCCAGAGGAAGCGAAGTATTTATCATATTGCAACTTGCGTATCTTTTATGTTGAAATTACTGTTGAAACCTGCATGACAAGTTTCTTCAGTCGAAAACAAGTGAATGTAACACCGGAGACAGTAAAAGCAGTTTTGACATAATTAGTCAGTCACCCTTGGTTGGAGGTGGTCAGTCCCTCAAGCCTAAGACACAGGCATACGGCCAGACTTCAGACCTTGCCGCATGTCTGTGCCTTAGGCTTGAGGGACTGACCACTTCTTCTGTCTACCTACCTACTTATGAGTCTACCTGAAGGGTGTTCCGGGGGTCACCTCTCCCTAGGCCCGGTCCTTGACCAGGCCTCTCCCTAGGCCCGGTCCTTGACCAGGCCTCTCCCTAGGCCCGGTCCTTGACCAGGCCTCTCCCTAGGCCCGGTCCTCGACCAAGTCTCCAAGAATGACTAATTACGTCAAAGTCACTTCTACAGCGTCCACTGTTACAGTCACCTGTCTTCGACTGACGAAGCCTGTCGTGCAAGCGAAAAGTTTCGGCGTTAAAGATACCCAAATGTTGTAAATGTTATTCTTATTCACTGAAATATCTAGTTTACGTTTTCAATTTATGGGTATATTATAACTTTCCTTGATTTGTTTACTTCAAGGGGAGAGGAAGGTGGAGTGTCTTGATAATGGTGGAGAGTTCTTCATGCTAAGAACCGGCTTTGTCCTCCTGTTCCTTTGATCAGATCTGATTACCTTCCATACCTCACGGCTCTGAATTACTTCTACAGGCTTAGTTCTTCCCCATGAGGAGGATAATATTTTAAGAGAAGGTGTAAGCGTGTTAGAGCACCACATCAACACCCCGCTCACACACAGGCACACACACCACACACTGTACTTAATAAACACCTCATAACATCCTTGCAGGGTTCCGGCATTAACTGGACTCTTCTTGACACTAACACTATCAAATTAGTTTTAAGCTTCAACTCTTTGTCACATACTTTCACAACACGTGAAAGTATGTGATAGTAAACCACTGCCAACAAACGTCTGGGCCCAGTATCTCCTGGAATAGCTGATATATAAATGAACCTAGTATCACTACGTCATGCCACATGGCGAAGAGGCTATGTCACATGGCGCAATGATACTGGGTCCAGGAATTTGTTATTGGTGGTTTATCATAAAAGTACACAGTGTTACCTTCATCCCCTTTACTAGCAGGACAAGATGATCCCGCGAGCTTTGCAATGGAGCAGTCTTCGGGTAAATAGCGGAGGTTCAAGGAGGGAAACTCCTTCTGGATGCCCTGCCTCTCCTCCCACGTCTGCAGAGAGACAGATGGAGGCTCCCAGGGTGTGTCGACAGCATCCTGCAAGCTACTGTTAGGGCTGCCAGGGAGGGTATCCTGCTCGTGCGTAACTGCGCGTGTAGCAGACAGATCCTCGCTGAAGTGGTCGGAAAGCATCAAATCCTGAGACTTGTTTGATGAGGTGTCACGGAAAGGGTTAAGCAGCAAATGACTTTGACTGCCGGATGAGTCATTAATATTTGAGGATGTTGAGGCTGTGTCGGGTTTTTTTGTATGGCTATGAGGGCTGTCGTAAGTGTCACGAGTGTTAGTGGTCGGTATAGTCTCGTCTCGACCTAAAGAGATCTCGAGGAAGTCTTCAGAGATTTTGGTTGTTATACATGCTATTACAGTTTCTTCTTCGCCTGTATCGCATCGCGTCACAGTAAAGCGGGTGCCAGCAAAGGCTAGTTTTTTCTCAGTGTCAGCAAGTGCTAGTTGGTCCTCAGTGTTAGCAAGAGCTAGTTGATCCTCACTGTCAGCATCGCCTAGCTGGTGCTCAGTGTATGCAAGGGCCAGCTGGTCCAGTGCTTCAGCAAGGGCCAGCTGGTCCTGTGTGTCACCAAGGGTCTGCTGAACTTCTGTGTCACCAAAGGTGAATTGATTCTCTCTTTTTTCAAGAATCAACTGGTTCTCTGTGGTGTGATCTTGCTGCACAGCTGCCGATGAAGCTGCATCTTTCCCAGAATCTTCTCTCTCTCTTTTTACATCTGTGTCTAGCATAGTCTCTGGCTGTAAAGTCTGAGCTTCGTTAAGACCAATTTTATCATTTCTTTCCAATTCTAAAGCTTTCGGGTCAACGTGGTCAGTGTTCAACTTTTCGTTACTAGTCACTTCCAGGCTCTCAAAAACTTTACTTGCAGAAATGCATTCTTGAGCACTAAGTGAAAAAGCGTCATTGACGCTACTTTTGTCTTCAACGGCCAATGAACTCTCCCTATCGTAACTTTCTTCTTTGTTAAATCCAGCTGTTTTATCCAGGGGTTGTCTATTGTCATCAGTTTTCTCACTATCATCTGCTGCCTTCACTTCATCGTTAGTCTCTTTTACGAGTGTTCTGCTTCTCCCTTGCTTGCGTCTCCGTAGTGGAACAGGAGGACCATCTTCATTTTCTGTAGCCAAACGCTTCTTCTCGACGGGAGACTGGCCTGTGTTATCCTCGTAAAACTCGATCATAGAATGAAATTTACACATGTCTTCGGAATTTTCTGCCAAGGCTAGTGTCGGGGAATCGGTGTAAGGTGCATTCTGAGGGATCTCTGAAGGAGTGTCAGGCGAGAGTTTCATGTCGTAGCTCTTCTGCTTCCTTCCGAATATCTTTGGGAAGCAGTTGACGTTCTCGCTGTTATCCAAATGATTGGCTTTGTTTACAAAGTTTCGCTGTAGCGAGGTGTATATTTTCTTCAGAGAATCTCTTCTTTTAATCGAAAAGCTTCTCTTGACGTCCCTCTGAATGGAGCCGTCGGAAGAGGCCCGCTCACGCTTTCTGTGTTGAGTGATGGCGTTCCAGTCAATGACTTTAGAAAAGTGTTCCTTTTTGGTTTCACTCAGCAGCGTCGACTGGGTCACATTAGGACGGTCGAATGGCTTCACGGAAGATACATCGGGAGACGACATTCTCAGCCTACTCGATGAATACTGAGGACGACAGGTGGCGGTGGAGGCTGAGCGACCGACTGCGTTCCTGGCGGTGTGACTGATGTTGGCGAGTGAAAATAAGGACGTGGCCTTAAGTTTTCGCTGCCGGGGAAGCGAGTTGTGCCGCCTCATGTACGTTCTCTCTGGGATGTAGGGCTTAGATACACCTGGGAAACTGGAGTCCTTGGTGGTTGTGGTGTCCTTGGTGTACTTAGCATCTTTATCGTATTTAACATCCTTAGTGTATTTAGCGTCCTTTGCATATTTATTATCCTTAGTGTATTTACCCTCTTTGGTGAATTTATCGTCCTTGGTGTATTTATAATCCTTCGCGTATTTAGCATCCTTGGCGTACATAGCATCCTTGGTGTATTTATCGCCCCTAAAGTACTTAGCATCCTTGGTGTATTTGTAATCCTTGGTGTATTTAGCATCCTTGGTGTATTTAGCATCCTTGGTGTATTTAGCATCCTTGGTGTATTTAGCATCCTTGGTGTATTTAGCATCCTTGGTGTATTTAGCATCCTTGGTGTATCTATAGTCCTTAATGTATTTGGAGTCATTGGGATCTTTGGCGACCTTGACATCTTTGGTGATTTTGTTGTCCTTGATGTTTTTGGCCTTCCTAGTGACTTGACCGTTCTCGACCACTTCGGCAACTTCTGCATTCTTGGTGACTTCGGCATTTTTGGTGACTACGATGTTTCTGTCGAGGTGCATATTTGTCTGTGTTTTAGACGTCCTTTTCTTTCTCGCAGGAGGACGAGGTGTTTCAGTATTATCTAAATTAGACGTAATTTGTAACAAATATTTGACGTCTGCTTCAGTGTTGTCAGAATGTTTCATAGGCCGAAAATCAACATCTGTTTCTTTTCTTGTTTCTGGTGGTACGTCTTGTGGTGGTGTTTCTTGTGGTGGTGTTTCGTGGGAGGTGATTAGTGACGGTGGGTCTTGGGAAGCGTTAACTGGTGGTGATTCATGGGAGGTTATGAGTGATGGGTCTTGGAGAGTGCTGACTGGTGGTGCTGGGTCTTGGGGAGTGCTGACTGGTAGTACCAGGTCTCCGGAAGTGCTGACTGATGGTGATGTTAGTGGGTCTTGGGGAGTGTTGATTGCTGATTGTAGTGGATCTTGAGAAGGGCTGTCTGGTGGTGGTGGTGGTGGTGGATCTTGAGGAGGGCTGACTGGTGGTGGTGGATCTTGAGGGGGGCTGTCTGGTGGTGGTGGTGGATCTTGAGGAGGGCTGACTGGTGGTGGTGGTGGATACTGAGGAGGGCTAACTGGTGGTGTTCGTGATGGATCTTGAGGGGGGCTGACTGGTGGTGGTGGTGGTGGATCTTGAGGAGGGCTGACTGGTGGTGGTGGATCTTGGGGAGGGCTGACTGGTGGTGGTGGATCTTGGGGAGGGCTGACTGGTGGTGGTGGTGGTGGATACTGAGGAGGGCTAACTGGTGGTGGTGGATCTTGGGGAGGGCTGACTGGTGGTGGTGGTGGTGGATCTTGGGAAGGGCTGACTGGTGGTGGTGGTGGTGGATCTTGGGAAGGGCTGACTGGTGGTGGTGGTGGTGGATCTTGGGGAGGGCTGACTGGTGGTGGTGGTGGATCTTGGGGAGGACTGACTGGTGGTGGTGGTGGTGGATCTTGGGGAGGACTGACTGGTGGTGGTGGTGGTGGATCTTGGGGAGGACTGACTGGTGGTGGTGGTGGTGGTGGATCTTGGGGAGGACTGACTGGTGGTGGTGGGTCTTGGGAAAGGGCGACTAATTTCGCTTTATAAATTGGTATTTCTTCACCAGAGGGCATATTACTGCAGTCTTTACCACTTGTTATAATGCTACATTCTTTATCTTCTAGACCCATAAAATCGTTTGATATTTCCTTATTTAGCATATCTGTAGTTTCTTCCTTTCCTTGTAAACTGGTGTCGTGTGCTAAATTACCGATTTCTAATGGTATGCAATTATCGTTATCCAGATTAGTCTTGATTTCAGTGTGAAGGCCACCTTCAATGGAATTAGAGCCCGATAGAACCTCCTTAAATGGAGACAGTGAACTATTTGTTTCATCAAGTATAGCACTCTCAGCTCTGCCTTCTATTTTACCGCCATGGACGTCTAGGTAATGTTTTTTATCAAAGGCAGTGGCGTCCGTAGTGACCTCGACCATCCCATTCTCCGGAGTTGGCACCTCCTGCACGCCACCATCAGGTGACCCGCTCCTTGCATCACCTGCGTACTTAGTATTCCGACAGTGCATCACATTACCTGAATCATGGGGCCTTGGCACTGTGCCAGCCTCTTTGCCTGGTCTCTCTATTACAGCCTCAACCACTACCACCCTTAACCCACGAGTTCTTCCAGCTTCAGTTTTTGCAGTGAACGATTCGTTTTCCTTTCCTGTGAGATTGTCAGAAATTGTTGACGAGGTTTGTTTATTTTCTCGAGCCAGAGCATTCTGTAATCTAAGGCTTTCTTTGCGTCTTAAAGGTCTCTTAGGGGGTGTACGGGAGACATCATCCCTGTATTCCTCTGATTTAGGTGAATCAATGTTTGAACTAGCTCTTCGTTCGCTTGACATGCGACGTAGAAATAGTCTCCTGGGTTTGGGAGGAGGAGCATCTATGACGGGGGAAGTGACTGTGTGGCTGACTGAGGGAGTGATTGTGTGGCTGATTGAGGTCTCCTGCAAGGCGGTGCACTGTTCACTGTGTGCGTCACTCTCAGTGTTATTCTCTCTTCCTACCACAGTTTTTTCTTCGATGACTTTGCTAGAATTATTTTCTGTTGTCTCATTACAGATGTGTTGTCCTGTAGCCACCGGTTGTAGCAAAACATCGCTCTTACCAAGCACTTCTTGCTCGTGTCCTGCCTTTCCAACGTCTTCTGAGGTAGAGGATGTAACCTCTTTGTATGTGATTTGCGCTTCATGTGACTGCTGTTCACATGATCCTTGCTCTCCCAGTGAAACAGTTTCACTGCCATATTTGCTCAAGTCGTTATACGTGTTTACAGTTGAGGCCTCTAGCTCTTTCGCCATGTTTTGAGAAGCCCGATGAGTAGAGAAAGTATTTCCGCGTGACTTTGACGTGTCTTTCACAGCTGTAGCATTCGGAAATTGTGCACACTCGCAGAGCACGACCTCCCCAGTCTGCTTTGGGTACGTGTTAGTGTGGGTAACATCATCTAAATTTGGTTCTAGCCTTGTGCCACTCCCAGGCTGATCAGGTGACACCATTAGCATGTCATCACTTACAAGGTCTCTCTCCCTTCCAGAGCACAGGTCACTTTTCTTACCGGGATTTAGATCGCTTTCCATGGTAGTGGCTGTGCTTATTGGAAGAGTACCACAAACGTCATCGACAGAGGTTGTGGCCATTATTAAGTCACAAGAAACCAATTTATCAATCACTGCAGCGTCAAGGCTAACACTGGTGGCTGTACTCTCAGTATGCAAGTGATGAGGCGGGTTTGCTGACGGTTCACCTGGTACTGTATGTAAACTTACTTCCGCTGTTATCGCATCATCCGGGTGGTGTATGAGGGAGAGATTTTCAGAGCCACTCCTAAAGCATATTCCCGTGTCAGCTACGTTCTCCGACACAGCCGCTGCTTCGTCTGGCGCTGCATCACTTGGAGCTGCGACGCCTGGCGCTGCTACTTCTGATGCTCCGTCGCCTAGCGAAACGGAGTTGGACGCTGTGCTGGCAGCATCCGCTCCGGTTCCATGAGAGCCAGTTATCATGCCCTTGCCTCTCAAAGTGTGAACAACAGCCTCCGCATCTTGCATCGCCAGATCAACACCGCATCTTGTATTGTCAACTACAGCATCACTGAGAGGTGCTCTAGTGTTTTCACCGCCTCTGCAGGAGCTGATAGGTACACAGACTTCGTCAGTGTGAAGGCACTGTAGGTCTGAAGGAATGTTGTGCCCTTTAACCTTGCATAGAGTTGGATCCTTTTCAGTGACTTCAGGAACTATGTCTTTTAAGTCTATTTCAGCTGTGTTCGTGGTGATGTCCATTCTGCGTGTTCTCGGGATGTCCGTATTGCCTGATATATTGATGTTACTTGTATCTGTATTAGTGATGTCAACAGCAATGATGTTCTTAATGTCAGAATGACTTGCTGTAGTGATGTCAGGATTTGCAGTATTAAAAATATCAGTACTAACTGCAGTAGTTATGTCACTTGGAGTGATGTCACTATTCGTACTTATTTCTTTTTCTGTGTATATGACATCAGTGACATCTACATTATTGACATCGGCATTATCTTTGCAGGTGACCTCAGTTTTAGGTGTATTTGTGATGTCAGTATTATCCGAGCTAGTGACATCAGCTTTGCTTGTGCACGCGCTAATAGCGTCACTGTTATCGGTAGTAAAGTCGGTATTACCTGTGCTTGCAATATCAGTCTTACCTGTGTTGATGTCAGTAATTCTCATGTCTGCGTTGACAGTACTGACAATGCCAGCAACGTCAACAACAGATGTTTTTGTGATGTCAGCATTACCTGTTCCTGTGCTGGCGACATCAGCTGATAGGGCGGACTCAACATCCATTGATCTGGCAACATGAGTTCTGTCTGTCGCCAACGCACTATCAACTGAGAACGAAATGTCAAGATCACTTGTACCTTTGTCATCAATGTCAGCTTTGTTTATGATCCTTGAGCTACCATTGTCAGTTAAGATTGAAGTGTCAGTATTATTTGCTTTTTTGTCACCTATGTCATCTGTCCTCAGAGCTACAGTTTTGAGTTCTGTGTCAGGATCAGCTGTGACATTCAGGTTATTCGCGCAAGCATGGCAAGTGTCAGAAGCGCTTGAAATGTCAGCAGGCGTTGGTGTGTCGTCACCACTGAGTGTTTGTGTGTGATCAGCAGCAGTAGAGACGTCGATTTGCTTGTTAGACTCTTCTTCACTGTGAGATTTGTCTTCAGGACCTTCCATGTTGTCAGCACCAGCATCAACACAGCCTCTGGTTAGCTTGCTGTGCAACTCTTCACTGGGAGGTTTGCTGACAGGGGCGCCAGTGTGGTCAGCAACAATAACGCAGATATGATCATGCTTGCTTGGCACTTGAGTGCTAGATTTGCTGTCAGGACCGACCGTGTGTGGTAATATGGTTTCGGTAATAATGTTTTCTTGGTAGGGCACACCAGGAGAAGCAGCGTTGCATCCGCCCCTCACGGTGAGTGTTGAGTCACTAGGAGGGAGAGGGTCACCTGGAGAGACAGGGTCACCTGTTATAGTCACAGAACCATCGTCACTATCACTGGGAAGGACATGAACACATCTAGCTGTCATAGCACCATCGTCACTATCACTGGGAAGGACGTCGACACATCTGGCTGCTATGGCACCATCACTGGGAAGGACGTGGACACATACAGCTGTTATGGCACTATAGTCACTATCACTGGGAAGGACATGAACACATCTAGCTGTCATAGCACCATCGTCACTATCACTGGGAAGGACGTCGACACATCTGGCTGTTATGGCACCATCGTCACTATCACTGGGAGCACTGAGAGGAATAGGGACATGACTTCCAATCTCGGCACCGTCATCACTTTCACTGTGAGGGAGGGGGACACTTCTCACCCTCACGGCACTGTCATCACTTTCACTGGCAGAGCCTGAAGGTTCACCTGGAACAGACTGGTCGGCGCTGCCGTGATCTGCCCTACATACAGGTTTTATTTCCACTTTTTTTTGTATTCCTCTTTCTTCAGAATCTTTACCAATTTTGGTCGCAGTTATTTTGCTCTCAACTGCTTCAGTATCTTCACCACCAGTGTCGTATGCAAAATCGTGGTCCTCTTCGGCAATATCGTTGAGTCTGTGGTCATACGACATGCTTGTCTCCTCTTCACAGACTTCGGCTACACTCACAGTGTCTGTATCTTCGTCAGAAGACACCTCGAACTCGTAAATGGTGGAGAGGATCCGCCGTCCAGTTAATGCGTCGAAGTACGGCTCTGTACTGGAGCAGCCCCACGAATCGTCCCGCATCTCAAAATTGTATTCAAGCTTCATAACTTTGCGAGTCACACCAAGCTCGGGGAAGAGGGGCATGACCTGCATGTAGAAATCTTCATCTGTGGGTGGGGAACCCAGAGAGTTTACTGCTTTGTTTACCACAGGATAATAATCCTCTGGTTTCTTGTAGTTCTCGATGTTTCTTGCTGACTTCTTGACATAACTTGGAGGACTTCTAAAACTTTCGTGAAGTATTTTATGACAGGCTGTGTAAGAATCGCCGGTTTCTGGATCGTAAGCAGATACCGCCTTGCAACCTTTACCTCTGGCTGGCTGATCTGCGGCATAACTGGGCAGCTTAGTTTTGTCACGATCACTGGAAGGGCTGGGAAGGAGGCCAACGTCTTGTTTAGCGGGCTGGAATTCTACCAGAGAATGATCACTGTTGTTAAATGTGAAACTAATAAAAAAGTCATTAGACATAGGATCATACCATGACATGTCAGTTGATCCATCATCATTACTCAACTCATTATTAGTTTCACATTCGTCATAGACCGGCGGTGGGTAGTCAGCATCTTGTTGGGCTTGTACGTACGTCTCCGATTCATCACGAGCGTCTTCATCGTCACCTTCCAAGGAGTCTGAGTAATCGGACTCTGTAGTGCCGTGCTCGGAAATGCCACTATCCGTCAGGAGAGAATCGCTGTACATACTGTAAGGCAACCGGGATCCAACAAGCATCTGATGGACGGGTTTGCTGAGCACCAAACTCTCCCTGGCCTCCGTCTGGCTGAAATCCGTGAGAGAAGTGGATGAGGAATCGCTCTGCTGGAGGTCAGATGTTTGACTCTCTGGGCTGCTGGGAGTTGTCGAGTTTTCTTCATAATCTTCCGTCTTTCCCGACACAAGCACAAGACCTGCTAAGTTACCCAGGTCCATCTTCTCACGTCTAAGAATCTTACCTGCTGGAAGGGAAGTCTCCTCAGCATCACGAGAATTCCACTTCTCGAGCGAGCGTATTAAACGACTATCATTAACTGTTCCTTCAGAGGGACTAATTAGTGCATGGGCCTCTCCAGCATCGCATAAATCAGAGCCTATATGACCTTCACTTGTATAACAGCTCTCAGGCACGCTGAAGGCACCAGTCTCACACTTACACTTATTGAGTTTATTCTGTATATCTCGCACTCCAGCAGCTATATGTAACATGCTCTGTGTCAACAGTAATGGATCAGCACACCGTAACCTCTGTCCTTTCTGGCTTTTCTGGTAACACTATAGACACGATGTTACAGCTTAACACACGCTACCTTTTCTTACGTCAGACGGGAGGCACAAATGTTAGCCAGCTGTCCGTTTCTTAAGTTTGCTGGCACCAGCGCGGCACCTGTGTGGTGTATCCGTTGCGAGAGGCACCACCTCCAATGCCGAACTCCCACTGCGACACCCCCCACTACACTCCTGACGTGGACAAGACTAACGGAGGGAGCGAGCACTTGTCAGGCAGGTTTTACACAGCCTTGTGCGCGCTCTATGACACTTTCTTGACCTCGATTTTTATTTACAAGTGAAGTGAGCGACGGTGTTACTGGGAGCTAGATTATATCACGAGATAATCATCAAGCAATCTTATATTTCATTCATAGTCACATATCTTATTTTTACGTCACACTTTGATCACCACGCTTGTGAAGCTCGGGTATCTCAGCGATACTGTAGCAGAACACGCGCGCCGAGACACAGCTGACCTCGTAAATCTCAAAGAGATCATGTGATACAGTGACAGTATGAGCGACACTTGGGCCCACCCACTACTGAACAGGACGGCACTAGATAGAAGCAGCATCCGTCCAGCATCTCATAACGTGAGCCCAGTACGACCCCTGCACTATTGGGCTATCCCGTAATGACCTTCGCAGCCAACACCACAACGGGACGACACCAGACGATATATATAGACAAAGTATCAAAACTTCGGAAAAGTGATAAACAGACGTGAGAGGACCGTAAAGGGGACTATTTCCTGTCTTTCTGGAGAATACTGAGTATCATATTCTGCTGCCAGAAACTGAGCAGGTGGAACCGGAGAGAGATTTTGAGGCCCCATCGAGAAGTACACTAACACACCAACACCATCAAAGGCACCAGACAAACTGCCCTCCCCTCCCTCCTTACCCGGATGACCGCCTGACCTGTGAGGCCTTCACAGTGAAGGGTGCTTGGTGGTAGTGGTGGTGGCGTGTGGCAGTTGTGGTAGTAGTAATGGTGGTGGAGGCGTGTGGCAGTGGTGGTGGTGCTGGTAGTGATGGTGGTGGTGTGGCAGTGGTGGTAGTAGTGGTGGTGGTGGTGGTGGAGGCGTGTGGTGGTGGAGGCGTGTGGTGGTGGAGGCGTGTGGTGGTGGAGGCGTGTGGCGGTGGAGGAGTGTGGCGGCGGTGGTAGTGGAGGAATGGGGCAGTGGTAAGAGCGGTGGTGGTGATGGTGGTGGAGTGAGGCAGTGGTGGTAGTGGCAGCGGTGGCGGAAGTGGTGGTGGGGGTAGTAGTGGTGTAGTAGTAGTAGTAGTAGTAGTAGTAGTAGTAGTAGTAGTAGTAGTAGTAGTAGTAATGGTGGAAGTGGTAGCATGCGGAGACAGTGGTTAAAGAGGAAGAAGGGTGCGGGTAGGAGAAGAATAACGGGAAAGGAGAAAGGGACAAGATGAATGCGGGGGAAAAAAAAGTGTGGGTGAACAAGCAGTAAGAACGAGAGACGGGTTAAATTTTTACAATTCAACAAAATCAGAAACACCCGCAGTGTGCTGCTACCCAACTCTGTTTCCCTGTCATATTCCATCACAGTGTTGAAACCCGTCAACCAGAGCTGAGAGACTCCAGTAGAGCAACGAAGACGTCGTCAACTATTCCATTAAAGGCTTAGTAGCTACGGCAGCTTAAAAGAGTCTTGCCTTAAGAGCTGGAGTTACTATCACATGGAAAACGAATACCTGTCTGGATGAGCTGTCTCGTACACAATGGAAAGGGAACTTACGTAGTTATCCACAACACAGAAAGGACAAAAACTGCAAAATATAGTTATTAATATTGTATAAACCGGACGAGCCTGGTCCAAGGTCGGTCTCCGGGTGGTGGATAACTCGCGGAAGGTATATCTCTAAATACATGAGAGAAGGTGGAGAGTATAGGAGAGGAGTGTGTTGTAGAGATGGAGAGTGCAAGAGAGAGATGGAGAGTGTCAGAAAGATGGAGTGTTGGGGAGAGAGGGAGAGTGTTTGGGAGATGGAGAGTGTTGAAGAGAAAGGGTGTTGTGCTTGATACCAGTATGCAAGGTCTCCATGAGTACAGGTGTGTCTAGCACCTGTCTCCCTGTGCCTGGCCGTGGTGCCTCCACCACACCTGTTCACTATTACACACACAGCGAAGCACCAGTCATACGGCGCCTTGGGAATGGGAGGTAACTAAGCTTAATCTCAGGAAGGGGAGGGATGGCTCTGATTTCTTGGATCAGGAGCCCTTCGCCAGCATCAACGCATTATTTCTAATTCCCATTCTAAAAGTATAACAGTAACAACAACAACGTCGGCAACAAAAATAAATATCAACAATGACATCAACGGTGACATCAACATAAACAACGGGAAAGTCTTCAACAACAACAACTGCAGAATAGACAACAATATACTTCCGTTTCATTAACAGTGTCTTACACACACACACACACACACACACACACACACACACACACACACACACACACGCGCACACGCACACGCACACGCACACGCACACGCACACGCACACGCACACACATGTGAAACTGTTAGGGTGACTCACTTATCGAGTAGGGATCTGAAAATTGACTTCGTGATTGATGAATCAACTCGGTGAGAAAAAATATTCAATCATTTACGTGAAAGTGGTCTGTCAAGACTCCAGTGAGACTAACATACATTTCTTTCTAGTTAATATAACTGGCATTCACAAAGAACTTAAAAATTTTGAGGGAATACATCAATGACATTTCGGTACGTCCTGGACCGAAAGGCCACGATGACTTTCGTGACTTTATAATCGTCCGAAATGTCCTCCAGAATTTCTCCGAACTGTGTATTTTGGTTAATGTTACTGTCAATAAGAGACACCTAGGCTGGTCGTCTTCAAAAAGGCCCCCTTTTTACCCCCTTTACTTCTATAGTCTTCCCGGTCTTTTCTTTGCAACTTAGACAATAATACACAAATAACCAGCACATAGACGGGAACTTACGACGACGTTTCGGTCTGACTTGGACCACTGACGTCGACGTGCGGGTTGTGTATTGTTCCATTCAAGGTATTATGCCTTTTTTTTAATCTTTATAGAATACAGTAGGGGAAACTTTGTTAAAACGACATCTTGTTCACGCGGACGCTTTGTCGTGCTCTTGTATGTATGAAACATCGATATTAGTGTGTCATGCCGCTTTTGTGTTTGTCCTTACGGCGTTGTCTACAGAGATTCGGTCTGTTTTCTCTCCATCACTCCAGATGCTGTCTTATTGATTGACCTGTCACCTACATATATTCCCAACATGGGAATATATGCGGGGTAGGGCACTCATGTCTCCTAGGACACTGTCAACTACTCTGATGTTGTTAACTAACTCGAGTCTGGGTTCATTGATGTGATGTCCCGCTGACTTGACTATCTTGAGGTGACCTTGGCTCTCCGCTCACCTCCCACTGACCTGACCTAATTTATGGCTCACTCTCGCTCTCTCCCTCTTCTCTCGAGTTTTGCTTCTGGTATGACGATGCTCGTGGACGGCAGCTCATTCTCACATCAAGAGTGATGAACGTTCAGATGTGAACGCGGCGAGTTTATAAAAATCCGATATGTGGTTAAATGTATATTCTTTTTAAATAGATTTGACCTAATCCAGCCTAAATTAAATTTGCCGAACTTCAAAAAAATGTACAATCGGGCAAAAATTATTAAAATATAACGTTTCATGAGAATGAATTGAATGAATTGAAGCGTGGTAACAAAAGTTCTGTTGCTATACGTGTCCTGCCTAAACAGATGAGGATAGTCAAGCGGAAGGCTACCTCCCCCCGCTCCCTCCGGCTACACTGCCGGAAACAACGCAAAAAAGAAGGTGAGGGAAATATCACGCGATTCCCAAGTCTTGCTTGCGGCGTGAAGTCAAGTTTTTATCCTTGTGGTACATAACCACGATTACACACACACACACACACACACACACACACACACACACACACACACACACACACACACACACACACACACACACACACAACACTGGAAACGGGAGCACCACGAACAAATCTATGCTCTTTCTGCTACAAATGGATGATCACAGAGACATGTTCACCCACATCATCCACATCATCCACATAACCCACAACATCCACATCATCCACATCATCCACGTCACCCACGTCATCCACATCACCCACGTCATCCACATCATCCACGTGACCGTAAACACAATCGCCAATAATAATTTTCTAAACTGTAATTCGCAGGCAACCCATTAAGTTATTTACACAAGGTATGAAGGTACGTGAGTCGCCATGATTGAGTTCACAAGTGAATCCTAAATGACAAAAGTTACATTGGATTAACACATTTCCAGATATCAGTGCAAAAATATTAATGAATATAAGTTAACTAAGGGTTACGCAACAAATAGAGAGAGAGAGAGAGAGAGAGAGAGAGAGAGAGAGAGAGAGGAGAGAGAGAGAGAGAGAGAGAGAGAGAGAGAGAGAGAGAGGAGATAGGCAGATGCTGGGTGTTAAACAGTAGTGGATGTATGAAGTAGGTAAAAATCTAATTTAGAGAACATAAAAAAATGGAGACAAGGAAGAAGTGCAGAAATAATCTAAAGAAAAACATAAGGATAATCGAATAAGTGGCTGCTGGAATTCAACCCCAGCACGTTCAAGGTTATGAAAATTGGAAAAGAAGAAAGGAAACCATGATGTAAAAAGGAAGGGAGAAAATGAAGCTAATGTATATGACCACTGAAGAGACTCAAACATGATGACAGGATACTAAGACCGAAGGGGAGGATATGTTCATAACATACAAGATACCAGGAGGACGTGATAGTATTTAAACAGGAGATGGCGGGAAATAAAAATAACGTTAAAGGTGTATATTTGTCACAGGGCCACTGAGAAATATTCTCCCAGCCTCGGCGTGGCCAGCAAGTAAGGCGACCTAGAAGACGAGGTGATGAAGGCAGATGCCATACTCAGTTTTGAGGATAATTACGACAAAACTCAAGAGAATATGTGAGGCCAGGAGCTGAGACACTGCCTTCACAGCCACAAATAGGCGAGTGTACACACACACACACACACACACACACACACACACACACACACACACACACACACACACACACACACACACGATAAAGCTAATGGAGCAGGGAGAGAGTGGACCCAGTAGCGACCAGCGAAGAAGCAGGACCAGGAGCTGTGAATCGACCCCTGCAACCAGGCAGGCAGACAGACAGACAGACAGACAGACAGACAGACAGACAGACAGACACACACACACACACACACACACACACACACACACACACACACACACACACACACACACACACACACACACACACACAAATGCTGTGCTCAGAATACAAGGTGAGCAAGGTATGTGGCAATTGGATGGTGAGCCACACTGTGTAAGCGGATGGGTGGGCGGATGGGCGGGATGCAGGAAACTGTTAGGTGGGATGGGATGTCTGTAGATGGGTGGTAGAATGGTTTGTGTGGGTGGCAAGGTGGGATGATGTAGTGGGGAGTGGACTGATAGACTTACAAGCATGAAAGCAGGTTGGGTGGATAAGAATATGACAGGTTACTGGCTATATAGGTTGTGGTTGTCTGTAATTATGCGGAGTAACTGTGGCAAGTGGATGGATAGGTGGACGTGGGCGGGGTGGACGTGGGCGTAACAAGGAATCTATTGGGGAAAGGTCATTTTCTGCTAGAACAGCCAAGACAACAACCCTAAAGGAGAAAGTAGGTCGGGAGATCTGTGTGTGTGTGTGTGTGAGAGAGAGAGAGAGAGAGAGAGAGAGAGAGAGAGAGAGAGAGAGAGACATAGGCACATAACTGACCTATTCCTCAATGAGACTATCTGATGTGGGTTGACCAAGGACAGGACAGCTGAAGCCTGGGTGCTAAAGAATGAGGTTGGTAATAAGAGATAAATGTAGTATAATATGATCATTTATTGATGACGTCTCGCCCATGCAGCAGGCTTTATCAAGTCACAGATTCTGCTTGCGACTTGATAAAGCCTT